TCCCTCCTGCTCCTCCCTTTGTCACTGAACCTGTCAGCCTGAGGCCTCCTGGTAGCACACTTTCCAACTTGCAATTATCTGGAAAGGGCCCATCTGGAAAAGCCATCCCATCCGTCTGCTGTAATATTTGTTCTGTGCTTTAAAAAAAAATACTATTTATTGCAGGCATATGTAAAATAAATGTTAAGGTATTAAACAAAAACAAGACACCAAACTTATAACCAAATCAGCCGTTTTTCTTATTGAAAAGGAGATGGAGGTGGTGGTGGGGAGACTCTCTGGTGTGGATATAAAAGCATGTGCTCGCATTTCAAATGTATTATGTCATATGCTATTATTAGGGTATTTAAGATAAAAATGAGACTAGAGCACTTAAGTGAAACTCATCTCTCTGTTAGGTTGCCTGATTTATATTTCATATATGACTGAGCATAAATGTTTAATTTTTTTTTCCAAGCACGGGGAGAAAGGGAATTGTTGGGAGCAATGGTCAGACTTGTTCCTTGTGTTCTCCGTTAGTGAAAATGGATTTAACCCCTTTAGCCAAGGAGGATCGAAGTCCAGAAGTGTTAGGGTGTGTGCGGCAAAGGGGAGAACAGCTGGGGCCGAGAGAGAGAGTTGAAAAAGATTTTTCCTTTTTTGTAAAGAATTCTGTCATTTTATTAATTTTGATCTCTTGGAGCCATTTGGTTCTGATTATATTAGAATGGGGATGGAGGAAGTGGAGTGGGGGAGTGGTTTTCAATATGGCATCATTTACGGTTAATATCCATCTAAAAATATCTCTCTGTGTGTTTTATTTTAATAGTTCTAATTCTGGAATGTGACGATGTCATTTTTATAAGGGTAGTGTAAAAATAATTTATAATCTTTTTATTCCCCAAAAGCTCTTTTGGGGTAAAAGGAGAAGGGGGGGGAGATATAGTATCATTTTCATAGTCCCCTCTTTCCCCCCGACCCCTGTGCTCTGTTAATATAACTTTTGTGGTGGTTTGTTTTTTTTTATCATTGGAAGTTAAGGCCCCATTGAAAGCTTTTGTCCCATCCAGGTGGGAATTCCCTTGGTTAGTTTCAGCCACTGTTTCATCCCCATGCTGTATGGAAATCCACACCCTCCTGGTGCAGTAAAGAGCACATGGTCTCTCCTGCTGTAGTGTCTGGGTGACTACTGTTAATTAAAAATGTGCTATGTGTTCTTTTTTTTTTTAAAAAAGACTTGGCCCTAATATTTTTATGCTTTTATTCTGCAAAGATTTTCCAAAGTGACCCAGTGATTTTGGAACCCCGGCTTGAGACCCCTTCAAGGCACCTGATTTTTCAAGTGCCTGAGCACCCACCCCTCTGAAAATCATGCCCCATGCTCTAGTTGGGCATCCCCGATCATGAGTCACTTCTGAAAACATAGGCTTGTCCTCTTGGAGTATCCAAAGTACTATCCATCTGGGTTCTCTGTGTACCAGCATCTATCACCATAGCATCTGAGTGCTTAAGCACTACTGTTAGCCCAGTGGCTACCTTAGCTGGCTGGTATGGTCTTAACTCTCCCAATTCAGAAATTAATTTAACTGCCTGCGTACATACTTAATGCTGGGCCTTGAAGGCTATCAAGTTCTGAAGAACCCAAAGAAGAATGGAGTTCCTTAAGGAGAGAGCCTCTACTGAAAATGCCTTGCCTTCCATTCCTGGCCTCCCCTCTAAGTAATCATCCCAGCTAATCCAGTCCTGACTTGGAGGTGCTTCTCTTGCATTTCCATGCTGGTTAGTTCTGGGGTTTCTCCATTAAATGGTCCTGTGGGGACCCGGCTCTCCCTGGCAGTAGTAATAATGCCTAGCTCTTGTATAGCAATTTTCGTCTCTAGCTCTCAGTGCTGTACAAAGGTGGTCAGCATCATTATCCCTGTTTTATAGCTTGGGGGGAAACTGAGGCATAATGAAGTGCAGTGCAGGGAGGGGGAGTGACTTACCCAGGGTCACCCAGCAGGCCAGGGATAGAAATGGAACCCAGGTTTCCTGAGTGGCAGGCTGCTGCTCTAACCGCTAGACAAGAAGGTTGTTCAGCAAATCGACTTGCCATGTGAGCTGACGAAAGGCACAGGTTTGATTCCCATTGGAGTCTGTGTGGAAGCTCAGTCTCTAAGGCCCGTTCAATTTTTAGTCTCTCCTGGGACTGCCAACATGGAGGCCACTTAGTTCTAACTGGTGGTGATTTTTGTGATGGGGATAAAAACAGGACTTCTAGGAATGAAGGATGAGACGCACCAGATTCATCTCGTACAGGAGGACAACTTCATCACCAGGTTCATTTGCTCCTTGGCTTGCTTGCTTTGCTCGCCAGTAGATATGAAACCTGGCCTAGAGCAGGTGCATTATTCCAGGGAAGAATTAAATGCCATGTGTCTTGGGTGGAAAGCTGGATAGCAAACTGTTCCTGCTCTGAGATCCCCACACACTGACTTGTGATGACCCGCTTTCTTCTGATATTAGAGGGGGGAATAAAGTATTTATTTCAACCATAGCATGAACTCAAAGGAATCAGGCTCTCAGGTGAAAAGAGAACAGCCTCTCCAGACTCATTAGCCAATAGAGCTGTGGTTATTCAATTTTTCCAGTGCGTCCTGGTGGGGAATTCTTCGCTACAGCAGAATCTCTTATTTCTTCTTGGGATCTGATACTAGCATAACACTTCTGTTGTCCGGACATTGCGTTCACCACACCCGGGATTAATCTGAGACTCTTTTTTTCCTAGTAGTTCTCGTTGCTCTGGAGTGGGACAGCCTAGCTGCAAAGAAGCAGATGAAAATCAAGTATGAAGCATATACAAAGAAATCCAGACACCCCGATTCAGAAAGCCCTGGGCTTTGGGGCAGTTTTGAATCTGTATCTAGATGGGAATTTAGAAATCGGGGAAGCTTCTTTTTCCAAGGAACTAAGGGCTTGTATACATACAAGGGGTTTTTTGATACTATTTTTACTATATCTGTTTAGAAACTGGTGTCATTAAGTGGCGTGATCCTCTAATGTGGACGCAGTTATACCAGTACAACGGTGCTTAAGCTATACAAACTGTGCCAGTGTAGTGGTATAACTGCATCCTCACTAGGGGGTCTTCCTGATCTTAGCTTTGTTGGGTAAACACCCCTCACAGCTCATAGTTAACTCAGCACAAAACCACTACGTAGGTCAGGTCTCTTCCCCTTCCGCCACCCCAACATTTGCATTTCCTCTGCTCAGTAACAGTTGCTGCCACTGGTCTTGTAAACGGGGAAGCCAGGCGGTGTCAGCTGTTGATGTCTTAGATCTTACAAACTTCTTTTTAAAATGGGCTAATTTACTGATCAAAGACAATCATCCAGGAGACAAATTGGACACAAACTATTTGTTCCTAATTGTGGCTATCGCACTAATGACTCGTTGAATAGCACCGTGGAGCAGGGTACAATTAACCCTCCCCCTCTTCCTCCCCCCTCCCCCCCCATTTCATAGATCATTAGCAGGAGGTGAAGCCAAATTCTCCTCTAAATGGGGACCTTCTTTTCTTTTTCCCGTGTTCTCAAAATTAAATAGCGAAGAATTATGGGTAACTTGGACTTCATGCTTTCTAGCTTTAAGGGGTGGTCCATACTGCTAACTTCAAGTGTTGCTTTTTGAAGCTAATCTTCTGGCCTGTTGAAAGAGGTTAGCAAGTGCAAGTGATCTGTCCAAAAAAAACTTGCCTTTCATCTTTACTCCCATCTCAAGGTGGTTCTGGCCCTGGTTGGGAGCCCCAGGTTGGAATCTGGTAGAGAAAGCACCCATCGTAATTCAAGCAAGACTTTTGTAAGCGCAGCTTCATTGTTTCCTGAGGAAAGACGGCAATGGACTGAGGTCATCTTTGGGTGGCAGTGAATATCCCATGATGACCCGCTTTCTTTGCTTGCCAAGTGACTCCCACTGAGTTTGTTAGAGCTGTACAGTTCTGCTCCCACAAGGTTCTGGGGTGTTGAGAACCTGGATTATGGGTTGGGCTGCTCTCTGAGCCTTTCATACACTGGCAAAATGGGTCACCTGGGGATCAAGATGAATGAACATGCCATTACTTCACCCCCATCACTGGTAAGTAGGAGTAAAATGCTGGTTTTCCCCCATACAGCTATGCCAATGCATTTCCGTTCTGGCCAGCGGCTGTTCTAGATCTCAGTAGCCTCTCCTGAGTAGTGGATGTTGCCTCAATGACCGTTTGCCCTGTGGTGATGGAGTAGCTAACCTGAATGCTAAGCCCCTGGAAAAGATGAAAGGCTAATGCTGTGGGTCCCCATCCTCCTGTATGGCTGTCTCAGAAAACCAAGTTAAGCCCTTGGGTTTTGCCAGCCAGTGCCAGTCATCTCCCATTCAATTCTAACCCACCAGCCCGAGCCCTGGCTCTGTGGTGACTTAAATCACACAAATGGGCTGTGTGGGCACGGGGCTCATCACTGAGGTAGGAGAGGGAGCTCAGAGTGCAAGTTGCTAGAGTCAGTCAAGTCTGCGGGGTTAGAATGAAACTTTCCTTGGTGGCAGGTCCAGTCACTGCAGGGCACCTTGCACTGAACCAGCTGGGGCTGGTGGAGACAGCATGCTGGCATAGATGGACCCCGGGTCTGGTCCAGCCTGGCCGTCCCCATGTCGCATAACCAGCTCAGTGACTCTGAGCCATCGGGTGAGTGCACTGACAGTGTAACATGGTCTCCACTACACAGCAGAGTTGGGAGGTGCTGCACCTCCGCCTCCCAGTCATGCCTGCGTGCTGGCTGTCTGATTGAAAAATGCTCGCGCCAAAACAAAACTGGTGCCAGTCTTCTTAGCAGCAGGTGGTTGGAATGGAAAGCTGTCCCCTACCCCACACCCCTACTCTTCCCCCCCCCTCCCCGCCCGGCAGATATCTCTGTAACTCTTCTGTTGGTTTCTCGGCCATCCCTGGCCATCTGGCAGGGCCGGGGGGGGGGGGGAGGAGGGGGGTAGGAGAGAAGGGGGTTGCTTCTCTGGGAGAGCTGCAGGGCTGTCATGGGGAGGACCCTGTGTGAGATTGGAAGGCCATGTCATTTTTTCCTGTAAATCTTGTAATTTCGTGCTTCAGAGCACAACAAAGTGAGAGAGTCAGCAGGGAGTGAATTAAATTGCCCCATGAGAGCCTGTTCGGGGTGGGCCTCCTGCATTCCATCTGCGCCTCCTCGCCTCCCTCGGCGCACGTGTGCCCGCTCATCATGGGCGTCCCCGTCTCCAAGTGGCAGGGCTTCGTCCTGTCTCCCCCGGATCAGCCTGGCTCGGTGCCCTTTTGACACATGGCCTGGCGTTGGCACGAGCCGTATTCTTCTTGTTCAAGTAATTTGCCAGCTTAATAAACCCATGCAGACTTTTACAGGGTTCCCAAAGCCTCATAAAACCAGGGGCTGTCCCCGCATCTCCCCGCGAACAAAGCTCTCCTTGTGTGGCTCGTGCAGTTAAAACCGGGTATCTCGGAGCCCTCAATTGCTGGCTACAGCAGCACGATCTCCTTTGGCAAGCTGGGCTTCCGATCAGCTCAGCCGTCACGCTGAGGCATTGCCTTCGCTCAGCTTCTCTCCTTTTGTGTGTCTTGTTTTTTCCTCTCTGTCCCGTGCTTAACTTTTAGAGAACTGTTGGGAAAATAATTCAGAGAGTTTAGAGAGAGAGAGAGAATTCCGGGCAGGCAGCATTACCTAGTGGTTAGATCGGGGTGAGACCGGTAGCTGGCACTCATGGATTCTTCTCTGGACTCTGGCGCTGACCTGCTGCGTGACCTGGAGCAAGCCACTTCCTCCTCACTCTGTGCCTCTTCCCCCCTGCCCCATCTGCAAAATGATCTCAAAGCACTTTTTGCAAAGATCAGCTAATTTAGCCTTGCAGCTTCCCCTGTGAGTTCAGTGGTGTCCCCATTGAAAGAGAAGGAAACTGAGGTTCGGGGGGTGGGGTGGGGAGGTGTTAATGGATTGCTCAAGGTTGCACAGTAGGCCAGCAGAGTTGGGGATAAAACCCAAGATCTCTCACTCCAAACCGAAATCTGCCCTTCCTCTTACAAAGACACAGTGAAGCGTGAAGGTCCTTGGGCAAAAGTGGCTATAGAATTACCTCACTGTGCGATACCAGTGAGGGATATAGTCAAAGGTGACATCATAGAATAGAATATCAGGGTTGGAAGGGACCTCAGGAGGTCATCTAGTCCAACCCGCTGCTCAAAGCAGGACCAATTCCCAACTAAATCATCCCAGCCAAGGCTTTGTCAAGCCGGGCCTT